GGTGGTTGGATAATTTAATTGCACCTCAAATATAACCCAAAACCGCCTTTGCAGCTGCACCAAACTCTAGTGTTGTCCACCTTGTGCCTCCAAATTTCAGAGCTCATATATGAACAGATTTTGAAGAAGGTCATAAAAGTACTGTGCCTTGTGTAACAATATACTTGTGTGATAAATCATGTTTTGTTCTTATTCCCTCCCCGCCACCCAAAAGTAAGTTTGGAATGCAGAATACAATATAACAATATTTGCAAATGAAATGTAGGATCAGCCTTCTCATTAATTGGTTTAAATTAAGAAGTCAGAAATGTTATTATACTTGGAATTGCTATTTAAATGAACAAGTCAAATTAAGCTATGATTTGATGTTCTGATATATCATCATCGTCATCCTGGAACCAAATGCCAGTGGATATCTGTGGATATTGGGTAAGCTGATTGCTGACACAAAAGATTTTCCCCTCAGTTCAGTCTAGACCAGTGCAACTGCAGGATCCTATTGTACCTGTGGCAGCCACCAACTTGAAGAATGTGCTGATTTTTAAAAGATTTTATTTATTTCATATCAAAAGCATTGCATAAATTAGTATCAAACCGATAAAAATAGAAGGAGCACAGGTGGCTAAATATCTTCTGACCAAAAACGGGCAGCAGCAACGACATCTGGTGCCAGAGTGAAAAAGGGAGCAGAGAAGACAGTTCCATCTTGTCTCCTGCAACATCAGAGCTCTTCCCCCAGCAACAATATAATATTATATAATACTAATATTATAAATGATGTATTAGTATTATGCTAATAATATAGTATGTTTCATGTAGGTATGACTTGTAAGCACCGGGATTGTGGCGCAGCTAGGCTGAGTGTCAGCTGCATTAAGATCACTCTGACCAAAAGATCATGAGTTCGAAGCCAGCCCGGGTTGGAGTGGGTTTCCAACCAATTGTGTGTAGCCTGTTGTCGACCTTTGCAACCCAAAAGACAGTTGCATCTGTCAAGTAGGAAAATTAGGTACCACCTTAAAAGTGTGGGGAGGCTAAATTAACTGATTTATGAGGCCATAAAGAAGACACCAGCAAAGCATTCCAGCGGGGAAGCATGCGGGGAATGCGGAAGTGCTTCATCAGCGTTGCAGATGGACGATGAAAGCGACAGCTCCCCTGGCGGCCAGAAAAAAAAAGTTAAATAGCCTCTGTGTATGTCTGTATGTTTGTATGTCAAAAATTGGCATTGAATGTTTGCCATATATGTGTACACTGTAATCTGCCCTGAGTCCCCTGCGGGGTGAGAAGGGCGGAATATAAAAGCTGTAAATAATTAATAAATAAGCCGCTCTGAGTCCCCTTTGGGGTGAGAAGGGCAGCCTAGAAATGTCGTAAATAAATAAATAGTCTATAGCCTCCAACAATTCTTCCTTGTACACGAGGCAGGGCATAGTGGACAAGCATACAGATGTGGAGTTGTCTGTGGTGCTCCACAGTCACACAAGATGGGGGATTCTTTTAGGTAGAGCCATTTTGCCAGGTTGTGTTTTGATCTGCCCACTTCGTCCACTCCGCTATTTAGGGACTCCCATGTTGGCCATTCTTTATTTTCCCCTGGAGGAACACCCTCGCGGGAGGTCATCCAGTTGGGATTTCTAAAATCTATTTTATTTATTTATTTAAAACGTTTATATACCGGTCTTCTCAACCTCCGCAGAGGGACTCAGTCCGGTTCACAACAAAAGATTCATAAACAAAAGTTTAAAACATCACATCTCATAATACACTAACACATTAAAATACAATCATATAAAAGATAATCTTTTATAATTGTGTGTGTTTCAGAAATGTTCATCTGTTGCAAAGGACTTTGGAACTCATAATTGGGGCATCACCTGGGCCATTAGAAATGTCTGTTACTTTGTGTGAATTGAGGGCTGGCAATCAGAACACATTCAGTCCTTTTCCATGTTATGCATTATAGAAGAAGCCAGTAATGCTTTAGGCAACAGGAACAACTCTAACAATGTATTTTTAAAATATATTCCAGCATTAATTTCATGAAATGTTGCGTCTTTTACAAAAATAAGACTAAACCAGAAAGTTTATTAAATATAAGCATGTTTATTGCACTCGGATAGTATGCATATGCACAAAGTTGGAGACATTCTGTTGTGAAATTATCACAAGTTCCTTCTGCCTTTTTACACAATCCAATGGAAGTCCATTCACATAGTCCAACAGCTTTTGTTACATTTATGTACTAGGACTCTCAAGACACATTTTAAAATAAGATGACAGTAAATTCCAATTACTTCTAGCCAGCTGTAGCTTGATATGCAAGAGTAAAGAGTTGCAGCTTGGCTCTCTTCTGCATATGGCTTTAAGGTATTCTCCCTTTACACCTGGTTACCTGGGGGAGACTATGGATAGCCTATGACAGTTATGTTCAGTGAATGCTACTTATTCTACTAGGACAGAATACGGTCTCATAGCTTTCACCATTGTCATTGACTTTTGTCCTGAAGAAGACATACACTACAAACCAAATTAACGTGAAAAGTATAAATATAATATAATAATATTACTGTTGTTATTAGCCATCTTGAAGTCGATTTTGGCTTATGGCAACCCTATGTATCATCAATAATCTTGCCCAGATCTTGCAGACTCGGGGTCATGGCTTCCTTGATTTAGGCTATCTCTTCCTCTTTATTTATTGCTCTACACATTACCAAGTATTATAATAATTTCTAGAGACTCACCTCTTCTCATTATATGTCCCAAGCATGACAACCTATTTAGTCATCTTGGCTTCTAGGGAGAATTTAAGCTTGATCTGTTCTAGGACCCATTTATGTTGTATCCTCAAAACTTTCTTCAGCATCACATCTTAAATGAGTTGATTTGCTTTCTATCAGCTTCTTTCATTGTCCAACTTTCACAACCATATATAGAAATGGGAAGTATATAATATGGACTAGCCTAACTTTAGTATTGTAATAGAACTTTACATTTCGGGATCTCGTCTTGTTCTTCATAGCTATTCCTAGCCTTCGAACATTACTGTTACATATGGGAGGTTACCATTCAACACTGAGTGCTCATAAGTGTTTGTAGTCCATAGTATTACATATTATATTTCTATTTTGCACGTGAATATGATTTGGGGTGTATATTTTCCCTTTTATAATTATTTTTGTGAGGTGTTTTATGTTTATGGAGACATCCCATTTTTTTTGTTTCTGTCCATGGATTATTATTTGGTTTCTCAGAGGTAACTCTAGTTCACTACTATTTTCCTAAAACCGTCTCTTCTTAGTTCAAGTTTACTCAAACTAAAAAGAGGAGGCAGCCTCTTTCCCGACCTTGTTGTTCTACTTATGCGATTATAGCTGATCTTGTGGATACAGCTTCCCCATGGGAAAAGCCATGCTTGGGGACTAAGATGCTAGATCTGGCACATGTAGGTTACATGAACCATTTTAATACACTCTGGCTAGTATCCTGTTAAGGGTATATGCATGCTGTGAAGAACCCCTTGCCTTAAGCAGCTAGAATGTGGGCCTGGCGAAGCCCTGTCGGCCATTTTAGGATAGGGAAACAAGGAGATGCCATCTTAGTTAAGAGTTTTCTAGAGGGGGCGTGTCTTAATCCAGGAAGCAGAGATTAGACGGCCAGGATTGGTTAGAAAATAGGGGGCGGAGCCTAGCGTTCAAAAAGGAAAAAATTGTACCTTTTGAACTGACGCTTGGAGTTGACAGTTGGAATTTGTCCGTTGGGGGTTTTGTCAGTTGGTATAACAGTTTGGTTAGTGTTAGATAGGAGAGCTGGGTTAATCTTTTGTGGTATTCAAGAGCTATAGAAATTAGCTGGGAATACAGATAGAGGAACAGGACCCTAGATGTGGTCTGTTTTTTAACCCTGTGGAAGGCTAGGCCAAAGGTTATTGGCTAGATTCCAGAAAGGGCGGAATTTTGTTTGGAATTATTATCAGCTATTAATTTCCTGAGATAATCTCCTGTTTTGTTAACATCAAGATTTGAACCCAGCACCCATCTAAGAATTGTACATCAAATGTAACCAGTAAAACCACTACGCTTTTGTACCAAAAGAAGTTTAAGCCTGTTAAATAAACCTTTTATTTTTTTTAACACTTTATAACAGCCTTGGTGTGACCATCATTGTGATTTAAACCCTATTAAGAAAACAAACACTATTGTAACACAAAAGGGTGTTACTAAGTATCCTCTCCACTTACAACTCAGCCTGAATACCAAACAAAAGGTGGCAGCAAAAACAATTGAAGAAACAGTTTCATAACCTCCCAGTTCAGGCTTAATTCAAATATATCTCAAATTGCCTCTTTCCTGTTTTAAAAATCCCCCTGCACCTGGGTTGGCAGCTTGAGGGAATTACTATTTTAAATTCCATGATACTTTCCCTGCTAAGTTCCTTATAATTAATGTCAATCGCCTGCTATAGTTTCCCCAGGTTCCTTATAATTGGTGGTACAGCGGTTGCGATAGGTGCAATATCTTTTACACATGCATACACCACCTTAGTTGTTGTTGCAAAGTGCCATCAAGTTGACTTTGACCTATGATGATACTACAAATGAGAGACCTCCAAGTCACACTGTTGTCCACAGCCCTGGTCAGAGCTTGCAAACTCAGGGCTATGGCTTCCTTACTTGAGTTGACCTGCCTGTAGTGTGATCTTCCTCTTTTCCCACTGCATCGTACCTTTTTTTGGTATTCTATCAAACATCATTACCTTTTTAAAAATGAATTCTGCCTTCTAATGAAAGTACAATAATTTCCGTTTTCCATATTCATGCATATGTCCTGCTTGGGGTGCTTCAGGAGAATGCCTATTTATTGAACAGACTCAAACCATGTCCCCCCTTCATCGAAAGCAGAGAGGAATGCAGAATTGTCGTGTTTTTGGCAGGCATGGAATGATGACATCAGTGCTATGATCTACCAGTCCTGTGGGAAGGACTATGCCCATGCAATTATTTTACTTCTGGCTACATGGGCATAGTCAGATGCTCCTATGAGGCAGGGATAGCTGTTCTGAGATGGTGGTTTCAGGGGCTGCACAGTAAGTTCAGGTGGTGGTGGTAAATGGCCCAACCAAGTGTTTTAGACATCTTGTGCTACTAGCTAGGCTATGTTGAGACAAATAGGAGTCTTTGGACCTTTTCCAAAGGTCATCCGAGTGGATGCAATTTTCCAAAGTAACTGGAGAGCACCAGTGTGTTGATAAATCTAATTCCAAGTAGAAGAATCCACAACACAATTTCCACCTCATATTCTGAAGATCGTATACCTTCTCATGGCCACAAATTCATTTGATTAATATTGTTACCAAGCTCAGCTTATGAAATTATTTAATAATATATCAATATTATCTGAATAAATATATACAGGATATCAAGCTATGTACAAGTCTTTGTGATTCCTGACATTAATTATAAACACTGAGAGAAAATATCTAAGTCATTATAGTAGTACATCAGGTTCCCATTAAGATTGCTGAAATGGTTTGATTCCATTTCTGCTATAGCCTGTATAGCTTTTCTTCAGTTTAGGCAGAAAAACAAAACAAACAAAAACACATGTACTCAACAAGAGATTTGCTGCAGAAAATAACAAGTTTGGCTTAAAAGACAGTTGGCATTGACTGTACTCTGGCAGAAGCTGTTCTTGCAAAGTGATGGTGAATTTTGAGAAAGCAHWGRTGAATTGTGAGGAGAAAAATACCCWTAATTTCATTAAAGGTAAAGTCAGGAGACCYTTTTCCCAAATAATTTTACCTGGTCTGCATGTATCAAAGATGGAGGAGACAAAAATRATTTAGAAGGCCAGGATGGTACATTAGTATCAGGGTCAAGGAAAGGACTTGGGAAACCCATTTCCAAGCCCCCGTGAGCCATAAAACTCACTGAGCAATATTGGATCAAATACTCTTTCTTTCACCCTGACTTACTTCAGAGGGTTGTTGTAAAGACCAAGTGGCAAGGCAAGGACAAGGCTACACCCAACCCTTTGAATGGATTGAATTGAAGACAAGATATCAACATGAGTGATCAACACAGAGTTGCCTTCGGGCTGATATGGGCGGGATAGAAATAATATAAATAAATAAATAAATAAACACTTATAATTGATGGTATTTTAGGATGCTTTAAGGTCTAACTCCTTGTTAGAGGCTAATGGGACTGTTGTTTTTTATTCTTCCATATATAAACCAATTGGTCTATAAGGGAGAAGTGTTTTAGACTTACTTATCAGACTGCTTTTGAAATAGAAATTTTTGCAAATTGTTGTTGTTTCTTTGAATACAAAGCAGCATTCAAAAATGTCACCCTGGCTTGACTAAGACAGTGTATTTTGTCTCCTCAAAAAAATGGCCACCTCATTCTGAGGCATATTGTTGCCATTGCTGGATAACATGAGGGTAGAACAACCCGTGCCATGACTAGAATGGAGACTCATTGTGGCTGCTCTCCACGCTGAAGGACTGCCATTTCTAGCATCTTCCCAACAAAAGAGCTGATTAATTTCTGGCTTGATAGGAAGAATTCTGAGAGAGGTTCTACATGCATAACCTGTTGATTAGTTCCTATTTTCTGGATTGTCTTGTGGCTCAAACAGTTGTCAACATTTTGTCCATGATCCAACAGATGCTGTGGCTAGAAGATGGTTGACGTCCAGTCCAAGTCCAATATGAAGCGAAAGAACCATAAAAAGGATGGACAGAAGCCAACCTCAAAGTTACCTATCAACATATCGCATCCAGACAACAGAGATAATAATATGGGAACCATTAACCTGATTGTAGCATCTCTCCTCCACCAACCTGAACTGTTTTGTATTCTTATTTAAAGCAATTATTTCCCTATTTATGTCTATCCATATAAATTGGGAAAATGCTATACTCATCTGAATTTTTTTTCTTTGCAAGAACAGGTAGCCATTTGTCATGAAGTTGAGAGTTTGCACTTCTTATAGCACAACCATACTATTGAAATGCCAAAGTTTGTAACTTGGTCCCACATAGGGTTCAACTGTCGAGTCTGTTGAGTGGCCAAGAGAACATCCAATCACAAGACAACATTGTTGGCTGAAACTTCCCTGTCATTTGGTTTCAGAGGAACCAATTAACCCATGCTTTCCTTTTGTTTCTGCAGAAATAGGAACTCTGCTTATTCAAAAGTGTTTCATCCAATCGTGAGCTTGACCAAAGTCCTTTCTCTATGGCATGAAACCAGAAGGGAATTTGTACAACCTGGAACTTTGCATAAGGCACATATCAAAGGTGCTTTGATGCTTGGACATTTTTTTTGTTTGACATCTGGGTGTTATCTGCTATATATCCAAAGTCTTCCCAGATAAAATAAAGCTGCCAGCTCATTATCATGGCTGTTTCCCATAGCAGATGCTGGCTGTTGTAGTATATACTTCAGGATTTGGAGTTTATGTAGTCATTTTTTCTGTCTTGCAGTGCCACCTACAGAGGAAAAGCAGAAACCAATTTCTTTAGTACCATTTTAAATAACTTGTTTCCTTAATCCGGGGCTTGTATTTCGTGTGAGTTTTATCCAGGCTGCAATCTGCTTTACTTTAATGCTATATCCTTGGATCATTTTCTGGGGCCACATATGAGAATTACTTTAGTCGGCACATCTTCCAAATTGAATGTGATAATGAAACGCCAGTAGAAATTTACCTTATCTGCCATTTCAAAGGAAAGGGGCTACCTGCAGGGACAAGGATTCTGGGGACCTCCATTTAATAAGCCACAAGGGCCTTCACACAATTGCTTGTGACTAAAAATTGCTTGCATATTTAATATCCAGGCATGTATTTACAAGGTTAATCACTTTGCTATTGAGATGGTCATTTCAAATTTGATTGCTTCTTTTTCAGTTCTGGCTTCCAGAATTTCTTTCATTTGAATTTAGTTTGGCAATTATGTGGCTCTCCAATTATTGTTGGGCTGTGCCTTCCAGTATCTTCCACAACTCACTATGGAGTAGGGGCTGCTGGGACCACAGTTCAAAACTCCATATATCTAGATCACATGAATATCACCTGTGATCTAGAGCAAACACGGGTGCAACAGTGCTAGGGCAACTGGGCTGTTATAATCCATTTATAGATTGCCACAACCATTCTAGTAGCTACTCTCGCTATGATTTACCCTCCAAGCAATGTTCCTGAAACATGTGCTAAGTAGGTGATAATTCATTGCACTAAGAGAGTTTGTTATGGAGAGGCTATTTGGGGTTTCTGAGTGGCTGGAAGAGTCTTAAGCCCTGCTCTGCCTGCTCCTGTTTTCCAGATATTTTTGTCTGGATCTGTGGTTCCTAACCTTTGGTCTTCCAGTTGTTTTGGACTTCAACTCCCAGAAATCCCAGGCAGATTACCAGCTGTTAGGAATTGTGGTAGCAGAATTCCAAAACACCTGGAGGACCAAAGGTTGGGAATCACTGATCTGGGTGATGATAGGGAAGATGAAGGAAATCTAAATGGCATCCTAGCTAAGTAGGGATCGTTGAGTGATCTTAATCTAACTCTCCTTAAAAATAATGGACACAGTCGCTGGAATCACACTTGGAAAAACTCAGAAAAGGTTGGTACAACAAACACATTGATCATATAAGAAGATATTCAGAAATTATTTGATTCATTTGGTTATGTTATGGTTGCTTGTAAACATAAGGAAAAGGAGTAATTATGCAACTACAGAAATGGCCATCTTCTTGCTTCAAAGTGATGAATAGTCTCATCAGTGAAAGTTCAGATGATTTTTTGGAGACCAAATAGCTAAAGGTCCGTAATAGAAGTACAGTAGAGTCTCGCTTATCCAACATAAACGGGTCAGTAGACCAGCAAAAAGTTGAATAATAAGGAGGGATTAAGGAAACTGGACATTGTTTTAATGATTATCGATTGAAGTATGTTTCATTACAATGTTTGATTTAATTGATTTTATTGTTGCTGATGTTTTTTATATTGTATATTGTAATTGTGTCTTTGGTGGCACTGAATTCTTGCCTTGTAAACTGCCTCGAGTTGCCGGAAGGCTGAGAGGGGCGGTATAGAAATGTACTAAATAAATAATCAATAAATAAAAGTCTCTTAAACGTCAAAATATGTTTAAATTAAGCACCAAAACATCATGTTTTACAGCAAATCAATAGAAAATGCAGTTCAATACATGGTAATGTTATGTAGTAATTACTGTATTTACGAATTTAGCACCAAAACATCACAATGCATTGAAACAGCTGTGGATCCGGGCGGGAGGCAGATTGCATTGGATAATACAGAATGTTGGATGAGTGAAAGTTGGATAAGTGAGAATCTACTGTGTTAGGATTAGGCCAGAGCTCCAATTAACAGGGCTTGAGGGGTGTGTGTCTGTCCCATCAAGGATATCAGTTCTTGTACACTGTTATCTGCTGATGTTCTCCTTTATATGTTTCAGGGCATTTCAGACTTGAACATCTTTTTACTAGAATTAAAGATTTTTGTCCAGCTCTGGAATGAACATAACCTATGGGACAGATTCCTCCTCCATGCTACAGCCCCTTAGATACTTTTCAAAGTATTATTCATACAGTTGTGCCATTTATACACAATCTGAATGTAACCCTGGAGATCTGACATGAAATGTTTTGTTCAGACGATTTAGTCAGGACAACTGTGGTCCGTCTTACYGGATTCCTTCCAAGAAGATGCACATAACTGAAGTGGCATTTTTACAAGATTTTAGGGAATGGAAAACAGGGATTGTATAAAAGGGAAGACATCTGCAGTTATCCCAACATGGCTGACAACATTTAACAGTTTTAACAAAAGACAACATTTTTCCTGCAAGGAAATGATGATTGGCTGACACAGAAGACTGAGATCTTGGGYCCAATACTGAGCAACAGAAAAATCACTTGCAACTCCAGTAGTGCAGGAATTGAGCCCAGATAGCAAAAAATCATCAAAAKAAGAAGARKAAATAATAATAAAACAGCGCATATAATTAGCTACAGAGGCAGAAGCACAGTTTTAYRTGRTGATGATCAACAGCGTCATTAGGTGTGAGTCAGTCCCAACGTGACGGTTAGTTTACACAGAGAAGCGCCCTGAYGATTTACATACCTCACTGTATCTCACAACCTCYTTTTGTATCACCCACCRCTTTTAAATCAGTGTCAACCACTGCTTTCAAATAAAAGAGAAGACACTGAATGTAGCCAGACAATATTAGCAATCAAGTCAATGTCAATGGGCAGGGAAACAGGGATGTCGATCAATGAAACACATCAGTGCCAATTAATTATACAGGTTCTAGTTGATTAATAGATTAACGAAGTACATTTCAGCATGGGGAAACCAGGTTTAAAGCAGAAGGCAAATTGTGTTGCCAAAGGCTTTCATGGCTGGAATCACTGTGTTGCTGTGAGTTTTCTTGGCTGGATGGCCATGTTCCAGAAGCATTCTCTCCTGACGTTTTGCCCACATCTATGGTACGCATCCTCAGAAGTTGTGAGGTCTGTTGGAAATTAGGCAAGTGGGGTTTATATATCTGTGGAATAATGTCCAGGGTAGGAGAAAGAACTCTTGTCTGTTGGAGGCAAGTGTGAATGTTGGAATTGGCCAGCTTGATTAGCATTGAATAGCCTTGCAGCTTCAAATAATAACAACACTTTATTTATATTCCACCCTATCTCCCCAAGGAGACTCAGGGAGGATCACAGTACACATAAACAGGAAACATTCAATGCCGTTTTTTGGATAGGAAGGACAGAGACAGACAGAACAGAAAGGAGGTATGTTGTGTCGACATCCAACTTTTTAGCACCTTGGAGGTTGTGCTTGAATCCAGCCACGGGGGGTGCTGTCGCTCCATCCTCTATGATGAAGAGCCATCAGGATTTCCTCCTTCCTTTTTCTCGCTGAGCATTTTCCAATCTTTTCCTTTATAGTGTCGTAAAATACCTCCCACCACTTGTTTTTTTAAAGCAGTACCTAATTTCTCTATTTACAGCTCAAGCTGTTTTTAAACTGATTAGGTAATAGTAAGCTGGGCTGACAGTTGGGAGCTCATGCCTATCCGGGGCTACGAACTGGCAACTTTTTGGTTGATAGATCTTAACATTGCTAGTGATTTACCAGTTGTGTTAAAGCTCTAATGCCTGGCTGCCTCCTGCCTGGGGGAATACTAGGCTACCAATATTGAAAAATACTCTAAAATCAGGACAGTAAATAAAGAACAACACTCAGAAAACAGGGGAATTCCAGACAGGAAGCAAACAGGGCCAGCTAACACCTCCCAACAAAGAATTCCCTCAGGCAGGAAGCAGCCAGGCTATGAAGCTGCAAGACTATTCAATGCTAATCAAGCTGGCCAATTGCAACATTTGCACTTGCATCAAACAGACAAGAATTCTTTCTCCCTGGACTTCCCACAGATATATAAACCCCACTTGCCTAGTTTCCAACAGACCTCACAACCTCTGAGGATGTCTGCCACAGATATGGGTGAAACGTCAGGAGGGAATGCTTCTGGAACATGGCCATACATCCCGGAAAACTCACAGCAACTCATAAAGCAAATTATACTTTTTTATGTGGTATGTGTTAGCCAGCTGTTGGCCAAAACCGAAAGAGGCTGCTTTGCTGATAGATCTCATTTAGTCGGCAGATATGGAAAGTGGGTGACTCTCTCCTCCTTAGAGTTCCCTGTATACGTACTTCCAAAACTTGTGATGTGTGTGGGGAAAACCCCCAAACCTGTTTTTGGGGGTGACAGGAAGCATTTCAAATGGGAAGAGAGAGGAAGAAGGTTAAATGCCAGGTTTTAGGCCAATGTCTTAGAAGAGACAGGAGCCATGGAGAGAAATGCCTCTTTCAAGGTGATCTTTGCCATTCCTGCAATTTTAACTGTTCTCTACTTTTTGCAGAAGCAATTGCAATAAAATGATATATCCATATATAACACTATATTTCCTTGATTCTAAGATGCACTTTTTCTCATACAGATATCTCTGAAAATGGGGTGTGTCTTAGAATCATGGGTGCTTTTTATATAGAGAGCGCTTTTTTCTATTGGTGGTACTGAAATTAGTGTGACTCTTACAGTCAAATAAATATGATAACTTGGTGCATGCCTGGTTATTCAGTTAAGTAGTTTTTAATAATTCCTTGGGCTGACTCTGTGTTGAAAACTACCCTCCCTTGAAGTTATTTGCATTGGGAACAAGCTCGTTTTCTGCTGCCCTGGAGACTAGGATGCTGAACAATGGCTTCAAACTATAGGAAAGGAGATTCCACCTGAACATTAGGAAGAACTTCCTGTGAGAGAGAGCTGTTCAGCAGTGGAACTCTCTGCCCTGGAGTGTGGTGGAGGCCTCTTCTTTGGAGGCTTTGAAACAGAGGCTGGATGGCCATCTATCGGGGGTGTTTTGAATGCAATTCTCCTGCTTCTTAGCAGGGGATTGGACTGGATGGCCCACAAGGTCTCCTGATTCTATCACTCTATGATTCTATGAGACAATGGTTCCCAAAACCTTGTTTTGTAAATGGCCTGAGATAACATGGGGAATATTTTTTCACCCTTCTTCTTCAATTCAGCTTTTTTTTACCACCCTTTCTTCGTTGTCTCTAGTGACTTATGCTCCTTACTTTTGCCTTAAGACAATCAGAAGGAGGGCAGACAGTGTTTTCTCTGGGCTGAGTTGATATCAGAGACCACAACATAGCCAAACCATATTGATTTCATCACAAATTCTATTCTGAGTGATTGCTTCCTAACCACACTCTGGTATTTATTTCAAAAAGGAAAAGGGTGCCCAGGAGGAGCAAGGAACATGGCTGCCATAGCCATATGGGACAAACACTTTCACTCCACTCACTCAATCTCGTGAAGAGAAAATAGAACCTAAATGTAGTTATTACTCTCAATTCACATCAAATGTAAACTTACTATGTTTCCATAGATATAACATTGGTTAGGACTAACAATTAAATGCAAGCCTCATTGTCTTCAAAGTCAATCTGACTGGGGAAGGTCTTTTGACTCAACTCTAATCTTCAACATTAGCAATTGAAATGACTTACTTGGATTGCTTTTGCTGTGCCTCTTTTTCTTTCGTCGCTTGTTTGATCCTTTTTGGCTGTCTTTTTCAACAAGAGCTTGCTCTGAAGGGACTGTTGCTGAACATGTAGTATCAGTCTGTGGCTCTTCTGAAAAGGACTTCTCATGACACGTATCAAGCAAGGAGTCTATGGAAGGCTCATTATTTTCTTTCGTTGACTCCTTTGTTGTCACAATTGGAGGAACCTCTGGAGTTGGAAGCCCTTGGTCTTTCCCAGATGAGTCCTGCTCTACACTGGCTTTGCTGGTGGCTTTGTTTACTTGATCATTTGAATTTAGGCTGTTCTGTGAACAAAATCCAAAATCAGAGCCTCCTGAGCAAACTAGGCCATCTCCACTCTTCAAGCTGGATGAATCCGTGCTCCCAAATTTGATAAAAGAAGATGACTGAGAAAATTCCAAATCATTACAATTCACATCTTGGATGGTGTGGGAGATAGTCCTCTCTTGCAAGTTTGTTCCATTGTTGGGCTCCATGATTCCTTCCAATGTAAATGAATCTAAGGAGCTCTTCTCTGGATCAGGATGGCTTGGAGAATGCCTGCCATTTCCACATTCACCAGAGGATGTGTGGGAAGCTGGCAAGTCGACAACATCCTCTTGCTTTGCATTTGTAACATCAACGCCTGAAAGGACTGTTTTTTCTGGTAATCCTTGCAGGTTATTTTGCACAATCACACCATCCTCCTCCTTCGCTGCGTCTTTTACAGCCTGAACAGTTGGGCCTGGAAAATCAACATAATGCAAGAAATTCAGCCCTGTTTCTACTCATAGTGTTGGTATTTTGTGAATGACAAATGAAAAGATGTTTGATGAATATTCACTGATGGGATACGGTACTAACTATTTTGTCTCTCCTCGCAAAAAGGGAGAAAATTGGAATTTTGGTTGTTTTTCCCCCCATCAACTCATTAGAGGTGATGTATTATGCATATACAAGCCCCTGCCAGGAAAAACCAAATTGCCCCACAACATGACAGACTCTCCTTCTTTGGAGATTTTAAAACAGAGGTTGGATGTCCTAATTTTAAACAAGTCACAACAATGTTATGGTTCTCTGGCTCCCCTTCTCTCTTATAGTTACAGTGCTTCTGGATATAGTCATAACCAGGAAAGGAATATAAGAATGAGATATTGTGTATTTCTGCCATTAAAATTAAACATTTAGGTACTTTGAGGACTTGTTTTTAGTATGTGTCATTAATATTGTGCCACTAATATCGAGGTATTACATTGACTAACCCTTTATATCTCCTAATTTTGAGATTTAAGCTACTGCTTTTCTCTATGTTCCTTATTATTTAGGTGAATCCTTACTTTCTCTCATTTCCCTCATTCACCACTGGAGAAATTATACTGTTTAGCCAGGATTGCACCACCTGACATCCGCTGGGAAGTAGGAGCCAATCATGAAAGGACCAAGGCAGTGACATCTCCAGCCCATCCTCTGTTTGGATATCAGCCAGCATGCCAATGCCTTAAATCAAGAAATACTTTTCTAAGATCTACAGAGATACTCACAGGAACATCTCAGCAAATGAGAGTCCAAAAGTGGCAGGCTAAAACCGGGAACCTCAACCCATGGCTGATAAGAGACTCCCTTCTGGGCACACAGAAAACTGGGCGACTTGGAAGGCACTTAACAGACTGTGCTCTGGCACAACGAGATGTAGAGCCAACCTTAAAAAATGGGGCCACAAAGTGGAATCCACAACATGCAAGTGTGGAGAAGAGCAAACCACAGACCACCGGTTACAATGCAGTCTGCACAATGGAGGACCTTCTTATAGCAACACCAGAGGCACTCCAAGTGGCCAGTTACTGGTCAAAGGACATTTAGTATAATGCCAAGTTTTTTAAATTTTGTGTTTTTAAAATACAGTACAACTGTACTGTCGGTTCACTTCTGATATGATAAATAAATTTAATCTCAGGACCATATGACTACTGGTTTCCTTATTACTTTGTAATTTCCTATCTTGGCCTCAGAAATAACCTTACTGAAACCAGGGCTTCTGACATCCATGGTTCCTCTCTATTTCACTCTAGACTTTTCCTCAGACCTTTTCCCTCAGGGATCCTGCTATCATCCAAATTGTCACATTATCCTTGCCTGAGATGCTTCGCTTTTCCACAAAACACCACTTTTTGACAAAACTGCTAGTAGTTCGCTCAAGACTTCTTTTTGGCTTCCCTTCACCAAACAAGTCTCCCCACAAGATTCTCACAGTATCAGATCAGATCCTATTTGATCAGATCCCACCAGCTGGCATCAAAAACAGGTGATAAGGGAGAGAGACAGCATGGAGTTCTGCTCTCCAAGGTCCACCTGGCAGTCAGTGTGACCTCCTATTCCATGATGGTGTCCATCTCCTAGGAAACCTGGGTGTGTACCAAAGTGTGGAGGATGGAGACAAATTGTTTTTTATTCATACCATTGTCTTTCCCTTTTTGAGGTTGACTGGGTGAGCCTTTGGCAGGAGTATCCGGATCACCTTTATTTCTGGCCGTTTTCCGCAGCTGGAACCCCTTCCTTATGTCAGCCAGCAACGCATCAATAACACACACGTCATCTTGCTTCACGACTCCTTTTCTAACTGCATTTGAGAAGCAAAGAGAAAATTAGCTATCTTGTTGATGGACTTGACTGGAACCAGTGCATTTTATTTTCATTCAATCACTGTCTCCTTTTGACGTGGAGCTATTTGTACAGATATTTTAATTTTTTTGAAAACATACCATGGTTGAGGTGGGCTTATAGAAAGGCTATTCACACTTGATTGAAACATTTCATTTCTATGCTTTGCTGCTCTAAATCTTGTAAACAGCTTCGCAATCATTCCTCCTGGACCAGAAGGTCTTCCCAAAACCCCAAATCTATTTTAGATTATAAAGGGATAGGTATTATATGAGCTGTAGGGGCTGCACAGCAGGTTAAACCACTAAGCTGCAGAACTTGCTGACCAGAAGGTTGGTGGTTTGACTCTATGAGATAGAGTGAGCTCCCATGGTTAGCCCCAGCTTCTGCCAACCTAGCAGTTCGAAAACATGCAAATGTGAGCAGGTTAATAGGTACCACTTCAGCGGGAAGGTAACAGTGCTCTGTGCAGTCATGCTAGAAACATAACCTAGGAGGCATCTATGGACAACACTGGCTCTTCGGCTTAGAAATGGGGATGAGCACCACCCTCCAGAGTTGGACTTGACTGGACTTAATGTCAAGAGTCTTTACCTTTATTATTATATGAGTAATTGTGAGTCAGATTTGCACACGCAAAGAAATGTAGATAATATAATTCAGTCTTTTCTTATAGTGCAATACTATAAATCTCTGCTCAGAAAAAAAGCCTATTAAATGGCTTGTTGTAGGTTTTTCGGGCTATATGGCCATGTCCTAGAAGCATTCTCTCCTGACATTTCACTTGCATCTATGGCAGGCAGCCTCAGAGGTTGTGAGGTCTCATAAGATGTTACGTTCCAGGAGGTCATAGAAATGGTGAGCCTGTTTTGAAAGTCCTTTTGGCTATGAGAAACTATGAGATAGTATCTGTGTCTCTGAAGCATAGAAGAAAAGTAAGAGAACACAGTAGATGTGCTTTCCTGGACCTTAGTTTTTCCAATTTTCATGTGTCTTGGAACTGTTTCTCCCTGTAGAGACCTCCAACCTCTGAGGATGCCTACCATAGAGGCAGGCGAAATGTTAGGTGAGAATGCTTCTAAAACATGACCATGTAGCCCGAAAATCCTACAACAACCCAAGTGATTCAGGCCATGAACGCCTTCGACAAGACAAAGCACATTAAAGCCAGGGATGTGGGTACAGAACTAGAGTCTAAATTACCTCAAAAGTCCTAGATAATTGGGACTTCAAGTTTCATGAAAAACAGAACTCATACTTCAGTCCCTTCCATATGTGCAGGGCAATAAATACCCAATAAGAGCCAAGTCGCAATCCAAGAAAAGCATAAGAAGAGAAAGGGGATAAGATGAGTGAAAGAAGCCTGAAGTTTGGAGCTATAGAGTCAGCCTGGAAGGGGGTGGGATCTGTCACAATAACCTTTCAGTGGTTTCATCCTGTTAAATTAATATGCATTTAACTTTTTAATTCAATTATTGCTTAAATAATTGAATTAAAATTATTTGGTGTTGTTTTAGACTACTTATATTGTTTTATTTCCATAATACCATGAAATCCCATGATATAGGGCGCAATATAAATATTTTAACAAACAATTAAATAATCAGAAATAAAATCTGATTAGATCAACAGGGCTTACTACTAAATATCTGTGCATATGAAGGAGCCACTCACTTATTTTTCCATTTTCTCCTTTTTGCCTCTTTGCCTCTTCCTCTTCCAGCTGCTTCTTCCTTTTTTCAGCCTTTGCCGCTTGCTCCTTTCGATCCTTGTTTTCCTAAGGAAAAGAATATCAACATGTCAAAGGAGCATCTAAGCTGCTACAGGTCTAATAGAAATAAACCCTGCTTTGCAAACCAGGATGAAACTGCAATGAGTGAATTTAGAACTTATCTTCCTAATGCAATCACAATACTTAGGGTAACTAACCACAGAATTGAATGTAACCATAGAATGGAAAAAAGTTCCATTATATAAACTATGAAGAGTAAAGAGAGAGGGAGAAAAGGGAAGAGAAACAATATCGTTGATATGGGACAAATCCAAAGTGAGTATGAAAACTAAAAAGTTATAGATTTTGTTCCTGTTCTTTTCTATTTTATTTTGGAGATATAAACAGGCTTTTCTTGCTTCTTGATGCCTCACCATAAGATGATGGGATCTTTTAACAGATCTAAATTATAGCCATGTACTCCACCTTTGACCCTTGATCCACTTCTTCAATGACACACTGCCCTTCTCTTTCTCTCTCAATTGACTCAGTGCCAAACAGTGTTCAGTATTTCACCTGCAAACCTTTAAAGAGAGAATGGCTTCCATTCTCCAACCATTTTCAGTTTTTCACAGTGTGTTTGTCCCTAAACTTTTGTATAAGTATGTCTAATTTTTGTTTTGTGTATTTTTATATACATTTTATGGAAATATGTTTTAATATATTTATTTTACGGAGTTTTAAAAATGATTATGTGGTCATTATTTGAGAACACAGAAATGCTGGACCACTCTAACAACTACCATGTCAGACTACACAGAGAAGCCACTGAAATACACAAGCATGTGGACAATTTCAACAGAAAGGAGGAAACCATGAAAATGAACAAAATCTGGCTACCAGTATTTAAAAAACTCTAAAATTACAACAGCAAAACAACAGAGGGGAAACAATCAGGCATATCTAATCACCTCTCAACAAAAGATTGCCCCAGGCACTGCCAGGCCATCAAATGCTAATCAAGGTGGTCAGTTGAAACATTCACACCTAGCTCCAACAGAGAAGAGTCCTTTATCCAATTCTGGTCATTCCACAGATATATAAACCCATTTACCTAGTTCCAACAGACCTCACTACCTCTGAGGATGCTTGCCATAGATGCAGGCGAAACGTCAGGAGAAAATGCCTCTAGAACATGGCCATATAGCCCGAAAAAACCTACAACAACCCAGTGATTCCGGCCATGAAAGCCTTCGACAATACATTATGTGTTTATTTTTTAGTAATGCTGTAACCCACCTCGAGCCGTGAGGAGAGGTGGGAGAGAAATAAAATTATTATTATTATTATTATTATTATTATTATTGATACACAACAGGATTAGTACACAGTAAACAAGATCACTATGCTGGCTTTTGTATTTGATTACACGTCAGACACTTCCCAAATGTCTAAGACTGTATGATGTATCAGCGAATAATGCGTGCAGATCCGAGTAGGGTGGCCTTTTGCTGCTGACAGTTGGTAACTTTGTCAACATCAATTGTTTTTCAGTGCAGGCCAAGGTCTTTAGGCACTGCACCCAGTGTATCGATCACCACTGGGATCATCTTTACTGGCTTTATGTCAGAGTCTTTGCAGCTTGATCTTTAAATCCTCATATTGTGTAAGCTTTTCCAATTGTTGTTGTTATTATTATTAAGTGAGGGAAGCCTGTACATTTTTTTCTTTATGCCAGAAGATTTTCTGTCAGATCCTGGTATGATCGGAGACTTTTTAAACCAGCTCTTCCAGTTGGTTTGTTTTAATCCAGTTTAATAAAACTGGAAAGAACAGGAACAAAATATGAGACTTTTCAATGGGGCTAAATTCAAGGGAAGGGAATTAAAAGACTCCCACAATTGTACCATTATGGTCCCACTTTAACTGCCATGGTATTCTGACATGAAATCCTGTGATTGTGGAGGTGCATTTAGAATTCTCAGCCTGAAAACAGTAGTACCTTATCAAACCACAAACACTTAGATTGCATAGGCTGTTGCCATAGAAGTTCAAGTGGAAACTAATCACTATAATTTTGTAGTGTGAAAGAGTCCATAGCCAAAAAAACATACATGATAGTTCTTTCTGTTTCAGGGACAGTTGGTGGAACTTTGTAGAGTTGTGTCTCAGCTAACAAAACGGATGGGGTGAAAGGATTATAACACCTTTCCAAAACCTTGCAAGAAATAGATGTAAGAAAAGTTCATGGTGGGTGCAAAAAAAGATTCATATTCCTTGCAGTGTTAATTATTCCCTAAAAATCATACAGCAACAACTGTTGCTATGGGAACGAGAGACAGGCCCTTCCCTGTGGTGGCTCCTCAGCTGTGGAACTCCCTCCCAAATGACATTAGATCTGCCCCCTCTCTCCCAAACTTTCATAAAAAAACTTAAAACCTGGCTGTGGGATCAAGCCTTTGAACAATAGATGGAATAACTTGTTGTTGTTCATTCGTTCAGTCGTCTCCGACTCTTCGTGACCTCATGGACCAGCCTACGCCAGAGCTCCCTGTCGGCCGTTACCACCCCCAGCTCCCTCAAGGTCAGTCCAGTCACTTCAAGGATGCCATCCATCCATCTTGCCCTTGGTCGGCCCCTCTTCCTTTTGCCTTCCACTTTCCCCAGCATAATTGTCTTCTCTAGGCTTTCCTGTCTCCTCATGATGTGGCCAAAGTACTTCAACTTTGTCTCTAGTATCTTTTCCTCCAGTGAGCAGTCGGGCTTTATTTCCTGGAGGATGGACTGGTTGGATCTTCTCGCAGTCCAAGGCACTCTCAGAACTTTCCTCCAACACCACAGCTCAAAAGCATCGATCTTCCTTCGCTCAGCCTTCCCTAAGGTCCAGCTCTCACATCCGTAGGTTACTACAGGGAATACCATGGCTTTGACTAGGCGGATCTTTGTTGCCAGTCTGATGTCTCTACTCTTCACTATTTTATCGAGACTGGACATTGCTCTCCTCCCAAGAAGTAAGTGTCTTCTGATTTCCTGGCTACAGTCTGCATCTGCAGTAATCTTTGCACCTAGAAATACAAAGTCTGTCACGGCCTCCACGGTTTCTCCCTCTATTTTCCAGTTGTCAATCATTCTTGTTGCCATAATCTTGGTTTTTTTGACGTTTAGCTGCAACCCGGCTTTTGCACTTTCTTCTTTCACCTTGATTAGCAGGCTCCTCAGCTCCTCCTCGCTTTCGGCCATCAGAGTGGTGTCATCTGCATATCTGAGGTTGTTAATGTTTCTTCCAGCAATTTTCACCCCAGCTTTGCATTCATCCAGCCCCGCACATCGCATGATGTGTTCTGCATACAAGTTAAGGTTGGGTGAGAGGATGCAGCCTTGCCGTACGCCTTTCCCAATCTTGAACCAGTCTGTTGTTCCGTGGTCAGTTCTGACTGTTGCTACTTGGTCCTTGTACAGATTCCTCAGGAGAGAGACAAGGTGGCTTGGGATGCCCATCCCACCAAGAACTTGCCACAATTTATTATGATCCACACCGTCAAAGGCTTTAGAATAGTCAATGAAGCAGAAGTAGATGTTTTTCTGAAACTCCCTGCCTTTCTCCATTATCCAGCGGATATTGGCAATCTGGTCTCTCGTTCCTCTGCCTTTTCTAAACCCAGCTTGAACATCTGGCAACTCTCGCTCCATGTATTGCTGGAGTCTTCCTTGCAGGATCTTGAGCATTACCTTACTGGCATGAGAAATAAGGGCCACTGTACGGAAGTTTGAGCAGTCTTTCGCATTTCCCTTAGAATAACTTGGAATAACTGGAAAGTGAATATTTTACTGACTGCAATGGACTGTCCTGGACTATGTTTTGAACCGGCGAACTGTTTTTAAATTGAATGTTTTTAAAATGTTTTAATTGTGTCTAATTGTATCCGTATTTTTAATGTACTGTGTCGGCACCTGATGGGTGCATACTGTCCTGAGTCCCTCTTCGGAGGTGAGAAGGATGGGCTATAACTGCTTGAAATAAATAAATAAACTGATTTGTGAGATTCAAAGAGATTAATTCCCCCAATATGTGAAAATCAATAAGTTGCAGGCAAATTCTTCTTGTGAAAAAGTCTGGAAGAGGTCTATCTGTGAATCATGGTACTTAAAGACTGGTTCTGTCCTGGTCCCTGTCATTCTACTTTCACAAATAGGAAGTTTTTCCTCTGATGCTTGTGGGAGAATTCTATGTACCATGTGAAATGTTTCCTGTAGTCTGCTTGGATGGAGTCCAGAAACCAATTTACCACCCTCTTTGTTCTATGTGAGAATGAGACATCACAACAATTGAGACCCTGCTATTTAGATTCCAACCTTTAACGCCTTGATGAAGAGGTCCCTGAAGGTTTTCAAGGTGTTAAATATATCTTCCAAGGACAATTTGTTTGGGTCCTCACAGAGGTAATTGGCAAGCTCCACCTTCTTTGCTTCAACGTTTTCAAATTCGTCTTCTAATTTCTGGTTGGCACTTATGCTATCCTGGAAGACATTGCAGTCAATGTTTTTTTAAAGCTAACTTTATTGACAAAATAGACATATTCAAAGCACAATGTGATGGATCTTCACTTCATCTCAGACCAACCTGAATTGCTTTTTCATACTGGGCTTTCACCTCTTCTGTTGACGATGACAACTTTCGCCCTAGTTCCATAAGTTTCTTTATATTGGAACTGGATTCAGAACGTATCACATCCAGATTGATTCTGGAAAAAAAGAAGAACGAATCACGAATTCTAATTTTTGTATAATATGAAGCAGTAATGGATAGGCATAGGTTGTGTGATGAAACTCTCAAAAAACATTGTCCTAATTTCACAGAACCTTTAAAAGCCTGTAGACTAAACCATTGCTTCTGAAACTGTGGGTCCCGATCCCAAATGGTGTCTCATGTGAGCTCAACGTTGAGGTCACGAAAAATTTGGCAATAAAGGTTTGTGAAGATCTTGGAGTCCTTGTGAACAAGTTAAACATGAACCAACAATGTCATGCAGCAGAAGCAAAAAAAAAAAAAAAGCCAATGGGATTTTGGCATGTATAAATAGGAGGATAGTGTCTAGATCCAGAGAAGTCATGCTACCCCTCTATTGAGTCTGGGGTTCAAATGTGGTCCTACTTTTTATGTTCCCTGAAACGGTTCCCCAGAGCCCCCTGCATCACAATTTTTCCATAAGAAATTGCCATGACTTACAGTTGTTTTTTTGCTCAAAAAGTACCTTTAGCATTAGTTAGCAAATCTTCAAGAACTGCCCAGAATCCTCAAATACACTAGAGATGTTCTCAAAACAGTGGAAGTGACATAATGTTGCCTTCCATTACAATTTTGATACGGTCTCAGATGAAATTGAGGAAATTGGGAGAACTGTGTGTATGGGGATGCACTTCACAAGATGCTCCTACTGTTAGAAAAGAGACTAGATGGAGGAGAAAAACTGGTTTGGTACATTTACCTGTCCAGGGTCTAAACCAGTTGTTCTCAACCTGTGGGTCCTTAGGTGTTTTGGCCTACAATTCCCAGAAATCCCAGCCAGTCTACCAGCTGTTAGGATTGCTGCGAGTTGAAGGCCAAAACATCTGGGGACCCACAGGTTGAGAACCACTGGTCTAAACAATGAAAAGGAAAAGAATTCAGTTGTGAACAGTTTGATTTTTTTTCCTTCTCCAGGGCAATGGCTTTTATTTTTTTTAATGCATATATACATATGCACAGAGAAGCACAAACATAATGCATATTTACCCAGAAGCCTTTGCAACATATTCAATATCTTTGGGAAGCTGTAGTAAGTCTACGTGATTTTTCTCCACCTCCTAAAAAGAAAACAAAAGATTTTGGGTTATTTGTCAGTAACAGTGATTGTGGCTTGTCTGCTAAACTTCTAAAAGAGTCATCTTAACTTTTGGCAGAAACTAGCTAGATGTGCTCTACCTTCTTGGTGCCTTTTGCAATTCATTGGCCACTATAAATCAACCCAGAATTTTTCAGCATGTTTTTTAAAAAACAGAACAGTGGTAAAGTGTCCGTTCCACTCCACTGCTTCCAAGCTTAACATTTTGACCAGAATCCACAGAAAGCTAACTCATTTTAAAGTATCTTGAACATATTTTTTTTTGATTTAGCTCCACTGGAAGCTAAGAATGTCTGACATTACTTGCAACTGAATGATGAACTTACACTTCATCACAGTAGAGAAAAAAATCCATTTAAAATCCAGTTTCTGCCTCCTGCAGAATTCTGGGGTTTGTAGTTTAGTGAGGCTGTTTTTTTTTCTCTAGTGTGATGAGGTAATACTAGTTGATTTGCCAAATGAAACAAAAAAAAAGCAGGAAAGAATACCTCTAAAATATGATGCAGCAGTGTAATACGGGTCTGGTTTGCTTTGGTTTCTGTTAGTTTGAGTAAAGTGCCAATCTTAAAGCCATCGGCATCTCCAGTATGACTTCCCTAAGAGAGAAAAAGACACACACCAAATTAAAAAAAACCCATGAATAATACTTCCTACAATCACATTTTATTTTGTTTATTACTTATGATTGCCAAATGGTTAAATTGGATTACTTACATAGTTCAAGAAGTTTCCAACTTTGAGAATCAACTGACAGAAAATGGGTAACCGGTGGCTAATGAGAAGATCTAGGACGGAAGATTTTTTTTTAAAATAAAGGCAATATAAATAGCTTGAACATGGAGTAAAGGTACAAAATAAAAGAACTAACTGAGACTTCATATTTGCTAATAACTAAACCTTGGAGCATTGGAATTGCTATTGGACACATTCATACTAAAGAACAAAATTATTTGTACCATAACTGATGTACTCACCCAAAACAATACCCAGAAGTACTTAAAATCCCAGGACCACAGAATTGGAGGCAATTCCAAGGGCTAATTAAGCCACCCCCTTACCAATACAGATATCCATCTAGCTTCTACTCTACTAACAGTAAAGAAGAGGCTGTGGTTCCATTTAATGGGAGACTGCTGAGTTGGGAAAGCTCTTTCTCTAATTGCTCAGAATGCCAAAGCTACACTAAAGGGTTCAGCCCTTCTTTACCTTCACAGGCCCTCCTGATTGTTTCCGCTTTCGGCTGCAGCATCTCCAGCAGAACGGCAGTCTCTTCACACATCAGCATGCACTCAATCCGGAGCTGGTAGCTAGAATGGAGAACCAGTATTCAATGGAGATGTCATTTATTGAGATAGCAAGGGATGGTACTTTAGGATTTAAGGACCATATGTTTTCATAAACCTTTCTTGTTATTGAGGAAGACTAATCTGAAATTGAGCATGTTGCTTTCCCCTGAGAGAGAAATATAAGACTTCTCAGGTGAGTCACTGTTATGGGTAGAATGTTGAAAAACAAGACTTGAAGGCCATAGGTATCCCATGGACCATACTTTGTTCATCCCTGCTTTAGCTGGAGATATCTGTGATGGCCTGCCAACACAGCTTCCTTCCCATGCTTCTCTCTGAGGGATTTCCCACACCAACAAGATTTACTTACCTGAGGTGGCCTAAATATACCTCAAGCTTTCACTAAACTCAGTGGTTTGAATGAAAAGAAGGACAGCAGAACAATCTTGTTTCCGAATGAAGCTCTGAGATGTGAAAAGCACTTGGGGAAAATGCTAGGTTATACAATCAATCAATCCTCTTCCTCCAGCACACAGTGGGAATACCTCTTCCAAGACTACAGCTGCTACAGTAAATGCATGAATACTAATTTTATGCATATGCACATTTTATTTATTTTATTTTTTATTTACATTATTTCTATCCTGCTCATATCAGCCCGAAGGCGACTCAGGGCGGCATACAAAGTCGGCACAATTTGAAGCCTTATATAAATGCATACATTGATAAAAAGCAAAAAAGAAACATTACAATACATTTAAACAATAAATAATACAAATTTAAAAACTATGTCCTCTCGTTCAAATCCTCATCTGTTCCATTGTCTTGGCTGTTCCTGGGTCATTTTCTGATTCAAATTTGTCTATCCTGAGGTTCCAAATGCTTGCTCGAAGAGCCAGGTTTTCACTCTCTTTCGAAAGGTCAGGAGGGAGGGGAGTGATCTAATATCCCTAGGCAGGGAGTTCCACAGCCGAGGGACTGCCACAGAGAAGGCCCTGTCTCTTGTCCCCGCCAAACGTGCTTGCAAGGCAGGCGGGATCGAGAGCAGGGCCTCCTCCGATGATCTCAAGTTCCTAGTGGGTTCATAGAAAGAGATGCGTTTGGATAGATAACCCTTACCTTGGGACACCAAGGAGAAGAAGATAGAACTGATCTGCATTTGCTAATTTTTCCTTTTCTTCTTTGAAGGATTTCAAGTTTTCTATCTAAGGAGAAAGGAGAACAGTTGTTGACTTCATTTTAGTGACAGATCACAAATCTTGAATTATACTAAATAATGGTAAACGACAGTTTATCATGGTGCCTGAATCAAGCCATTGCAACTAAAATCAGAACTGCTTTGGTTTTCTTACTTCATGCTTTTCTGGTAGGAGTTTCAGCAACTGCTTGAGAACCTCAACATCAAACTTGGTTCGATCCCCTTTCTGAATCATGTCGACCACTTCCTCATTTGAGCTACAGAGAAAAGAGGCTGATAAATAGATGCAACCATGGCTCTGTAAGTTTATAGCTATCAACAGAGAGAGTGAATTAAGACAGAAAACACTTCCCCATCTCCTTTCTCCTTGGTGAAAGGCCATCCGATGAAATGAATATGCAAAACAAGTTCAGTTCACATGAAGGAAACCACTTATTTATTTATTTCCCATACTTGTACCCCATCCTTTTCACCCCGAAGGGGACTCAGGGCGGCCTCACAACCGACAACAATTAGATGCCCAACAAACAGATTTCCCACAAAAAAACCCCAATAACAATTAAAACCAGCAATCTATATAAATAAAAATGTAATGTTTGTTTGTGGGATTAACATAACTCAAAAACCATTGGACGAATTGACACCAAATTGGACACAAACACCTATCAGGCCAATAAATGACCATCACTCATAAAACACTCGTCCTCCGGACCCCCTTCATGCAGGAACCTGCGGTGTGTGAAGGGGGGGATTCGTTTGCGTGGTGGGCCGGGACTGACCAGACGCACGGCTGTCACAACAATATACTGAACATGCCATACCCAAAACATATAATAAACACAATTAACAAAACAAATAAACGTCATTACGATGCTACTCTTCCCACACGCACTCCCTCTCACCAAACTTTTACCAGTTCATTGTTGCAATAGGGCGAGGAGAGAAGGAACATGGCGGGGGAGATCTTAAAAGGAGAAGAAGGGAAGGACAGAAGGCGAAGAGCAGGGAGCGGGGAAGGGAGGGCTTGTGCGCGCGCTTAGGAGCGGGAGCGAGCGACAGGGGTGAGGAGAGAAACGAGAGACGGGAGGGACGGAGGAAAGAGATGATGAGTACAGGGTGACGGCTAGAAGAAAAGGAGAGGCGGAAGGAAGGAGAAGGGAGGAAGGAAGGAGGGGGAAGGAAGGAGAGGGAGAAGGGAGAAGGAAAGGAGGGAGGAAGGAAGGGAGAGGGGGGGAGAGGGGAGAAGGGGAGGAGGGAGGAAGGAGGAGGAGAAGGAGATAGAGGAGAGAGGAGGGAGAGGAGGAGGAAGAGAGAGGGAAGAAGGGAGGGAGAGAGAGAGAGGGAGGAAAAA